TAATGAAGTATTGGTCTAAAATCTTGAATGTTATCAAATAGTTTGAATATATTAGCCTAATATTAAGTGCTTCCATGATAGGGCTTTTGACCCCCATTTCAGTCATTTTTCACTTCTGATTTTGATTCTTATACTTTGCTCCTACTGACCACTCACTGTTCCTTATTTATGTTTCTTGTTTTATTCAGTTCCAAGCCCTCTCACTGTTTTGTTTTCCTAGGATGTCTTTCCTCACCATCTTTGCACATCCCAATCCTACCAGTCCTTAAAAGGCCAGCCCAGAAGAGCTTTTCATGGGTCTTCCAGGTCATCTAAATGTACCTGCCCCATAGAACTATGCCTCCTTTCTCTCCTCAAGGAGCATCCACCATGGTCAGTCTTGGACTAGAGTTCTTGGTATCTCTCTTTTATCTTCATTATCGTTGACACTAAAGAACCTTGTGGGCAGAGGCCATCTGCTAGTCATGTTTGTAACTTGCCATGATCTCCTTGTACATAGTCTGTATTCAGCAAATATATCCTAAGAAAAAGAATTTTGTTCACCTAAGAGAAAAATGTCAACATTTGCAACTTTGAATAGTGTTTCCTTCAATGAAATCAGACCCAAGGTGAGAGAACTGATTAGATAATTGGAGTAGAGATTTTTCAGAGGTGGTTCTTAATTTTCAGGCCTTATGATCTGCTGTTTTCCAGCAAATGCTTGTATGTGATTGCAATTGAATAAAGATTTTTTGCATTAAAATATCAGCTTTAGTATCCTCCAATGCATTAGGAAATATATTCTACAACTATGTATTTTATTTAAGGCAATAATACAGGTTACATCAGCCATTCTCATTTATTTTTATTCTTTTGAAGAGAAAGCATAGGTGAGAACTATTAATTTTTTTTTTAATTTTTTTTTTTTTAATTTATTTCTAGGGAGAGAGAGAGACAGCCTGAGCAGGGGAGGGTCAGAGAGAGAGGGAGACACAGACTCCGAAATAGGCTCCAGGCTCTGAGCTGGCAGTCAGCACAGAGCCCGACGCGGGGCTTGAACCCACGAACCGCGAGATCATGACCTAAGCGAAAGTCGGACGCTTAACCGACTAAGCCACCCAGGCGCCCTGAGAACTATTAATTTTGAGATCATGAAAAAGTAGTTACATTTTTAAGATAAATACACTTATTTGGCGGGTGTGAATGTGTCAGTCTTAGATTTAAATATTTTCATTAGTAAGACTTTTTCCTAATTGAACCTAAAGAGCATAGTTTACGTTCTTTATTTCCTTTAATGAGAAAAGAACATGTTTGAATAACACCTCAGTGTTGTGTTCTCATTCTGTATACTTGTCACATTATTTAATCTCTAATACAGGCATACACATGATTTCGGACAGCTGTGGGCTGACTCACACCCTTTGATGAGAAGGAGGCAGAGGGAAGTGATCAACTTTAGTTTTAAACATCACTGCCTTAGTCTCTGAAGTCCAAATATAAGCCGTTGTGTCACAGGAAGTGCCCAGTATTTTAGGAAAAGATAGTCTGACCCTATCCTATAGGTCCAAGCTGCCACCCTTCTCCTTTATTTTGTTTCCACATTGAAAAAAATCTTAATTCTGGTGTCGTTTATTAGATTTCCAAATTGCTTTGATGAGGCTCTGCCACAACTTTCTGTTCCCTAACATATGGTAGACATAACTAATCTATAACAGTGTTTTCTTATAGGTCAGATTCTTATTCCAGGTAGTATCTTCTAATTGACCAGATTAGGCAAATAAGGTAAAATATACTTGCCAGCTTATTTTATTTTTTAATATTTTTATTTCTAGGAGAGAGAGAGAGAGAGACAGCGTGAGCAGGGGAGGGTAGGGTCAGAGAGAGAGAGGGAGATACAGACTCTGAAATAGGCTCCAGGCTCTGAGCTGGCAGTCAACACAGAGCCCGACGCGGGGCTTGAACCCACAAACCGTGAGATCATGACCTAAGCGAAAGTCAGACACTTAAACGACTAAGCCACCCAGGCGCCCCTTGCCAGCTTATTTTAGAGTTCACAGTATTATTTATTACTTTACCTTTCAGTACAAGAAATACAAAATATGTGTTTGTGGAATGTTCTTGGTAATTCGATTAGGCTGGGATAGAAGAGCTGTGTCCCACTATAGGTTTACTTATAGTTTGTTGTTTAACCTTCTGAATCAGCCTGCTTCCCGGCTACAAGAGTTGGCTGCTCTCCTTGACCCCCTTTTCCATGTAGATAGCATATAAGAAATTTTTTTCTGAGGAGAATTAAATCTTTTCTCTTAAAAATCTTAAAATACATTGTTTTGATTGTTTGGTTTATTTTCTTTTTTTCTTTTTTCTTTTTGGTTTATTTTCAAGAAAACTGTCCCAAAAGCTAGGGATATCTTAGACTACATTAATACATTGTGTTTAAAAACAAGGAAACAGATAGTCCTGATCAATTTTACACTTGTCAGACCTCACTTGGAGTATTGCACTGAGTGTAGGAAACTGTATTTTATGAGATAAAGATGGTGCAGAGACTTCTGTCCATTTTATATGGCCAGCTCATGAAGAAACTAGACATGTTTATCCTGGAAAAGAGACACTTCGGGGGAAATCAGTTATCGTCTTCATGTATTAGGTGGCCTGTTATATGGAAGAGAATTGTTAGGTCATTTCAAAGGGCATAACCCAACGGCTAAGAAGTTGTTAATTCAGTGAAATGTTCTTTGATAAAGGGCTCTGTAATTAAATAAATATGACAAATGTATCATATTCATTTTCTGGAGATTTGCAGATATAGATTAAATATATATTAAGGACCCTAAAAAGTCACACAGTGAAAGGTCTTGTTAAATTTGTTAATCACAACATTCCATAAACACCTTCCTCAGAGCTAGTTTTCTAAGGAGCTCACATTTAGGTAGTGGTTCTCAAACTATGGTAAGGTGACCAACAGCATCAGCATACCTGGGAACTTACTAGAAATACACCCCAGACCTACGGAATCAGAAACTAGGAGCTGGGCCTAGCAAGCTGTGTGATAATAAGCCTTCCAGGGGATTGTCATGTTGCATTTGTGAGAAGTACTGCTAAAAAATTTCACTTCCATTTTCCAACTCAAAGCACCCTTTTAGTTTCCTTCCTTGCCACAATTTTTATTTTTTACAGTTTCTTCTAATGATATTCTAGGACTCTATAATTCATTGTTCTAGGTGGTTATCTTTCTGAGGTGTAGAAGGAAGGAAAGTCTTAAGAAAGGCCTCTCCTAGTTTTCAATCTGGTATCCATTTGGATACTCTAAAGAATCCTAAGTAATGAATCCATATGTTCTGTAAAGTGAAAGACACAGTTCTATAATGAGGTAAACCTTAAATTCATTGGTATTGTTGCCATTTAAAAAGTTTTTTTTTTTTAAGTTTATGTATTTTGAGAGAGACAGAGTGAGCGGGGGAGGGGCAGAGAGAGAGAATGGCTCCTCACTGTCCACACAGGGCCTGATGGAGAGCTCAGACTCAAAAACCGCGAGATCATGACCTGAACAGAAATCAAGAGTTGAACTCTCAACCGACTGGGCCACCCAGGCGCCCCATTCTTGCCATTTTTACAGACTTTAACATCTTAAAAAATGATCTGTAATGTGCCTTCTCTTATGTTAGAAGTCAGTAAGATTAGAGACTTTTCTGACTTCTTTGCATTAGCAGAGATTAAATTCTTAGAGCATTTTATTTATATGAACAATAGGACACTTTTAAAAAAGTGAAATTGAATTATAGTTTAAATTGAATATGTATGGGGTACCTGGGTGGCTCAGTTGGTTAAATGCCTGCTTTGGCTCAGGTCATGATTTCATAGTTCCTGAGTTTGAGCCCCGCATCGGGCTCTGTGCTGACAGCTCAGAGCCTGGAGCCTGCTTTGGATTCTATGTCTCCTTTACTCTCTGCCCATTCCTCCCTCTCTCTCTCTCTCTCTCTGGCTCATAGATGAATACATACTCCCCAAAGGCGCCTAAATAAATAAAAAATATATATATATCTATACATATACACACACACACCCCTAGGCGCCTGGGTGGCTCAGTTGGTTAAGCCTCCAACTTCGTCTCAGGTCATGATCCTGTAGTTCATGGGTTCGAGCCCTGCATTGGGCTCTGTACTGACAGCTCAGAGCCTGGAACATGGCTTCTGTATCTCCCTCTCTCTCTACCCCTCCCCCACTCATGCTCTGTCTCTCTTTGTCTCTCAAAAATAAATAAATGTAAAAAAAATTAAAAACAATTCCCCATAAGTATACATATAAGTAGTGCCTTATTTTACTGGGTATCATGTGCATTTTGAGTGTTTATATGAAATGTCTCTAGCGTTTATGTAGAAGAATTTTCTTTTTCTGTAGGACAGTGAAACTGAGTTGAATATATTAAAATATCACAATATATTTAATTTAAGTGTATTTAGAACAAAATTATTGGTGTTCCTTGGGATGAATTATGGACAATTTTATCTTAATTTCTTGGAACTGTTTTGCCATCCCTTCCCTTCATATGAGATAGGGTTCTCTGGGTTTATATTGCTAGGTCAACTGAGGCTTTATTTAGGTTTATTTAGGGGGACAAAGACTGGTAGTCTGGAGACTGGAATTTGATTTGGTTGCTGCTGTCCAACAACAGAATGCCCGGGGTAATCCACTTACAACAGTGAGTATAAGCAGTGGGATCGCTGTTACTGTATTTAAACGCCAATGGTTGGCAGGAATGTGCTAAGGTCTGAATCTAACAGTTAATTATGTCACTGTCCTTGCCCCGGGCAACTGCTGCTGAAAGGACACACTCACATGATGAGGAAGACAGCAGAGGTGGTGGTTGGGAGCTAACTGTTACCTTGTTGCTGACTCACAGAAGAGGTTTAGGATGTTGGCTGTGGTTTCTAAAGAGCATCTAGCCTTTTCAGCCTGTGTATGAAGGTTCCACGTGTTTTTTTAAATTATAATTTTATGCTTATTATTTTCTCTCTCCATAGTTTTCCTCACAGGAGAAAAAGCCAATTCAGTATTGAAACGCTACCCAAGAGCTAATGGACTTTTTGAAGAAATAAGACAGGGCAACATTGAGCGTGAATGCAAAGAAGAAATCTGCACATTTGAAGAAGCAAGAGAAGCTTTTGAAAATAATGAGAAAACTGTAAGTACACTGGCAGTTTGTAAGACCTGTTCACAGCTTTGCCTACCTTTTGGATGGATGTCTGCAGTCTGCATTCCCAAATCGCGTGCACTGCTATCAGTTACAGATCGATCCCACGTTGCCTCTGTGAAGAACTCTGGAAGTGGTTATCTAACTAAGAATACTCTGTGGATAGGAGAGCCCGGTTCACTTCCCTGTGTGTTGGTCAGTCTTCCAGGGTCTTGTTTCCACAGGACTCTGCTGAGCTGAGATGGGTCATCCTGGCTGGGGCGGGGAGCGGCACTTATTTCAGTGAAGGCTCTGATGGGGAAGGTTGTAGATATCACCTGACTCTGCCTAATCAGTGAGAAAGGGTGGAGGAACCCAATAGAGGCTGATACTGTTTTAAAGATCTTTTACTTCTAGTACAAAAGACACACGTGTATTCGAACTCCCTTCCCCACTCTTTACCACTCTTTACTCTAGAAGGCATGCTCTTCGGAGAGCAGGGATGGAAATGCAAATGGCAGTGGTGTAAATTCTGTGGAACTGCTCTGCACTTGGAAATTACATTACCAGAGGTAGCCTGTATATAAAGATCCATTCCTGTGCACCGATCATGAAAATAACACTGGGTGCTAAACAAGTGATGTCAGATATGCTTAGAGGAATATCAACTATGTCTCAGGAGCAGCAGATACAGAAGTTTTAAAGAAAGGGGTTTGATCTTTTGTTTTGTAGAAAGGGACCCAGGAGGTAAGAGGAAGGAGCTCAAGGAGAGGAAATGAGGGAAGCATCATTGCTGGATTGCAGTGTGCATGGCAAATACAGAGTCAGTGTTTAAATTGATAAACTGTGAGCATCAGTTTTTATATTTTTATTTATTTTTTACTGAAGTATAATTGGCGTATAGTAGTAATTAGTTTCAGATATGCAACATATCGCTTGGACAGTTGTATACATTATTTAATGCTCACCACCGTGAGTGTGCTCATCTGCCACCATACAAAGTTATTATTACAATATTATTGGCTATATTCCCTATGGTGTACTTTTCATCACTGTGACTTATTTATTTTATAACTGGAAGTTTGTATCTCTTAATACTTGTTATCTATTTTGCCCACCCCTCCACCCACCTCCTATCTGAAAACCATCAGTTTGTTCTCTGTATCTACGGGTGTATTTGTTTGTTTTGTTTTTTAGATTCCACATATAAGTGAAATCATATTTTTCTTTCTCAGTCTGACTTCTCTTAGGTTAATACCCTCTATGTCTGTCCATGTTGTTATAAATGACAAGACCCTCATTCTTTTTTTTATGGCTGAGTAGTATTCCATAGTGGGTGTGTATCTGTATGCGTGTATGTACTACATCTTCTTGGTCATTTGACATTTAGGTTGCTTTTATATCTTGGCTTTTATATATAATGCTGTAGTAAACATTGGGGTGCATGTATCTTTTCAAATTAGTGTTTTTATGTTTTTTGGGTAAATACCCAGTAGTGGAAGTTACTGGGTCATATGATCTTTCTATTATTCTTATTTTTGAGAAACCTCCATACTGTTTTTAACAGTAGTTGTACCAATTTACATTTCCACCAAGAGTGCACAAGGCTTCCTTCTCTCTACATCCTTGTCAACACCTTATTTCTTGTCTTTTTGACAGTTGCCAAGGTGACAAGTGTGAGGTATGATCTCATTGTGGTTTTGGTTTGCATTTTCCTCATGATGAGTTACGTTGAGCATCTTTTCGTGTCTGTTGGCCATCCATATGTCATGTTTGGCAAAATGCCTTTTCATATTCTCTGCCCATTTTTAAATTTGATTGTTCGTTTGTGTATTTGTTTAAAGTGTTTTTAAATGTTACTTAAATCCCGCAGTCAAAACCAAAAAACTCATCATCCATAATCCCATCATGCAATCACAGCACTGTTGACCTTTTAATTTATTTTTACCTTTTCTCCCTATGTGTCTACTTAGTCCTTCTTTGTTTTATTTTACATATTTATTTTCTTCTTCTTATAAAATTAATATATTTTCATTGTAGAGAAATTGAAAATCTAGTAAAACATCAAATGAATAGAATCATTTCAATATTTAGCACCATCAGTTTTGTAATTTTGGTATATATTTTGGCCTATTTTTAATACACAGATAATTTCAAAAATTTTTTCATGTTTATTCATTTTTGAGAGACAGAGCATAGGCAGGGGTGGGGCAGAGAGAGAGGGAGACAGGATCCAAAGCTAAACTGTCAGCACAGAGCCCAATGCCAGGCTTGAACCCACAAACTGTGAGGTCATGATTTGAGCTGAGGGTGGATGCTAAAGTGACTGAGCCACCCAGGTGCCCCATACATAGATGATTTTTAAATTTTATACCACAGTAGGATTGTGGTATAAATAGTGATTTGTAGCATGCAGTTTTTAACAAAAAACTGGTTCATGTTTATAAAGCAAGCAAAACTTAGTTTTTGATATCCTCTTTTATAAAAAAATACAAATTTTAGGTATTCTATCATTTTCCTAAAGCTAGAGTTTTCATCCTGCTTTGTCATTCTCCTTTAAAGGAAAGATAAAAACTTTAGTGGGAAGACACTTTGAAAGAAACTATGTAAGTATTCTATTCTTCATCAGACTTCTGCCCATTAGTTTTAACATCTGCTATTGATGTTTTTTGACTAAATCAGTTATAGTTGCCAAATGGTGATTTCTAACTCCATCCCATATACATTTGTTAGTTGACATTCCACTATGGGCTGGAATGATCTATCTGTCTATCTGTCAATTTATACAGACTCAAGATTATTTTATTCAGTGAGCCATATCCATTACTATCAGTGTTTTGGTCAAATTGTCCCATATTTGGCTCATGGAAGTTTCTTCAAACCGGCTTCTCTCTTTTTGACATTATCATTTTTTAAAGCTCTTTTTTCCTTTTGGGCCAGCAAAATGTTCCAGGATCATCGTGTACTTCCCTGCCCTAACCTTGGAATTGGTTATTTCTGTGAGGAGCCTTGGTTACTTTAGTTAGAAATAATGTTTAGAAACCAAGATCTGGTAGCTAGTGTGTTCTCATTGCTATGAAAGTACCATTGTTTCTTGGCCTTACAGCACCAGAACTTGGGGAAAAAAATTCACAAACACTTGTATATGGACAAAAACGTGAACTTACAGATTCATCCTGCTGCTCTCCAATTCCATTACCCCTCAGGGTTCTTATTTGTTGTCCCCATTCTGTATTTGTAGGTGAGATGGAGATATTCTTTTTTTCTTTCCCCCACAATGAGAACCGCGGCTTCCAATAACATCAATATATTGTTTCATTTACTCAGTCCTACAGCATACACACAGTGGTTTCAGAATTATACCAGTAACATAATGGGAAGACGGAAAACTTTTATATTCATTCATTCATTCATTCATTCATTCATCCATATCATTCCATATGTATTCAGAAGTTATTCTGTTTTTTAAAAGTCATATAGTACTTTCTTATAAGGATGTGCCAGTTTATTCAGCCAGTCAACTGTATTCAGGTATTTACTAGTTTCTAGTAATTTTGCATTTTACAGATAATGCTTCCGTTGTAATTTTGTGCTTATGTATTTTGGCATTATTGGAAATGGAATTTCATGGTGAATTTCTTACAAGTGGATTGGTGGTCAGAGGGTTAATGCGTATGTAGTTTTGTTAAGTATTGCCAGAATGCTTTCAATAAGCATTGTATCATTTTGTGTTCCCACCAGATATTTGAGAATGAAATATATATGTTTTCTTATGGTCTTAACCAGCAGAGAGTATCTAGAAAGTTTTGGCATGTTTGTCAAGCCATTGGGTGGGATGTGATATCTTGATGTTGTTTCTGCTTATGAGTGAAGTTGCATATTTTGCCATGTGTTTTATGGGCCATTTTTTTGTATATCTTGTGAATTGTCTTTGTCTTTTGCCCACTTTTCTATCATATTTATGATCTCTTCCCCCCTCAGTTTCTCAAAAGTATATTAGAGATATTTGTTTTTATTGGTGATGTGTATTTCATATATTTGCAGTTGTCATTTATATTTTGACTTTGGTTATGGATTTTTAATGCATTTTTTCATTTTCATTGTAGCCATAAACACAGATTTTATTGAATCTAGATTTTTGATCATAGTCTAAAACCTTCATCTACACCCTAGTTATAGAGAAATTCACAGTTTCTTCTTATAAATATACTTGAGTTTTGACATTTAGATCTCTGTTTCACTCACAGTTTATTCTTGAGTATGATATGAATTATGAATATAATCTTTTTCACATGCTGTTCACTTGTCTGAAGACCATTTTTTATACAATCCTTCTTTGCTTCAGTGATTTTAACTACTCTTTGTCATATACCTAATTTTAGTCTATACTTAATTGATTTCTAGATTTTATATTCTAGTTCATTGGTCCATCATTCTGCTCAAATGCCAGTGCCACTGCTTTAATTATAGAGGATTTTCAGTGTTAAATTAGTATAAATTAGAACCAGTTCCCCTTATATGCTCTTCTTTTCCAATGTTTTGTGAGCTATTCTTGCATGCCTACTTTTTCATATAAATTTTAGCATTAATTTGTCTCTAGAAAAAATAATTTGTCAGTATTTATTGGGATTTCTTTTACTCTGTAAATTAGGGAGAACTAACATCTTGAAGATACTAAATCACCTTCTCCAAGAGAAAATTTCTTTCTGTTGGTTGAAAACAGCATTTGTATCTTTCAGGAATGTTTTGTACTTTGCATCATACAAGTTTTGTACATTCTTAGGTGGGCTTCTAAGTATTACTGTGTTGCTCTGTGTTGCTCTTATACATGGACTGTTTTTTTCCAGGATGTATTCTAACTGGTTATTATTTGTGTATGTGTAAGTTACCAGTTGTTTTAAACCTTGCTGAGTTATAATTGATTTATGATTAGCTACACATATTTAAAGTGTACAGTTTGGTAAGTTTTTACATATGCACACACCTGTCAAGCCACACTGTGAATCACCACA